GGACCCCTCTCCCAACTTCACTTTCGTCTCAGCTTGTCCAGCTGTGATGGCTGGCAGAGAAAACTCAGAGAGGCCCAGGCCTCCCTCCGCCTCTGCCGATGAAACTGGGACCACCCTTTCCAATCTGGAGAGGCCACTGCAAATGAAGTGCTTATTTGAAAAGTCCCCTGGAGCCATCCTTATGGGATCAAGATGCAGAAAATAGTTTAATGAGGACGCCAGCCTGCAGGTGCACCTGTGCTAATTCTGTAGACAAAGGCACTAACCTGACAGCTCAGAGAGGAAGAAGCTGTTAAGCCTCTTTTGGGAAACATCAGTCCTGCAGGGCAGGACACAAGCACTTCTCTGAAGCAGGAGGCAGATGGCAAAGGCATTCTTGGGACTCTGCCCCAGCGCCTGGCCTGTTCGCCTGCCCCCGTGACAGACTCAGCAGCATCTGGGACCCAGTGGCTCTTCCTCAGCAACCCAGGGCAGCAGGGAACCATGGGGGTGGGTGGTGAAGAGACACTGGTGTGCAAAGTGGGGAGAACAGGATGGAAATTCCTACACAGAGAAATCAGACAGTGTACCGAGAGTCTAGCACGGGAGCTTTGAGGACTTGACTGTGACCTGCAGTAAGAAATAGATTTAAAATCATGTTCCACTGCATCCCATGTGCGTCTGTACATACATAGTTTTGTGAAACAGTGCCTGCCCCCGCTATGCGTGATGCACCCTGAACATTGTTCTTTCACTTAAGATGCTTATTGTGACCCACTACATTTGCTTCATGAGCTCCCTGAGGAGTTGCTTCCCACGGTTTGAAACATGTGGGTCAGGCACGTGGAGAAATCAGGATGGAGAGCAGGCAAGGCTGCGGTGTCCGGGAGCAGTGGTGCAACCTTGCTGTCTGTATCTGCTCCCCGGGCAGACAATTGGACCCCTTGTAAGTCTGTTGTAGAAGTTAAATGAGATAATCTGTTAAGGTTCTGGGTACAGGGTTTGGTACATATAAGTATTTAATAACCATTAGATACGGTGATGATGGTGGTGGTGGTGGTGATGGTGAAGGTTGTGAATGCACCCCGCTCTTCCCTGTGGCTCTAGCCTCCTTTCCTACAGCCATTACTCCTGGAGTGATGAGGCCTTCAGCTGCATTCCTAGCTGTCTGAAAGCTGAGGTTCCTCAAGGCTGTGAGATACAAATAGACGAGTGGCAGGTGAGGAGTCGGAGCTTTGCAAGCAGGACTGTCTGTGATATATTTTCAGCGCAGAAAGATTTTCTTGAATTTCTCACGATAGATACATGGATGGCGGCAGGGACAGCGATGTAGAGAAGTGGAACAGATGTTCGTCAGAAATGGCAGAGAAGAGGCCACAGACTTGGAAGTGGCCACCTGGAAAATAGTGGGGGACCGAAACTCAGAGCCGGTGCTGGCCGCTATATTGCTCCTGTCCTGCCGGAGTGTTTGGTGTTCATTCTCGGCCTCCCTGCACAGCGGGGACCTCTGGGTCCCCCTCCCCAGCATGTAGTTCTGCCCTTAGCCTTGCTGCCCTGCAATTCTAACGGGAGGGCTCAGAGAGCGGGGCCCCTGTGTGCGTCAGAGTGCCTGGCTCCCAGCTGCTGGGGCCAGAAGTGGACAGGCCAGCCCCCGGAAAGGAATCTCTCAGGCCTGCAAGGGAGAGGCCTGTCACCTGGCTCAGGGCTGAGCACCTACACCCACTTTGGACACAGCCAACAGAAGCCCTCTGCAGAGTCCTTTGGCTTGCACACTTGGTCCCATGCTCTGGATCTGGCACATTGTAGGGACAGCTGGCTCCTTTGCCCCTTCTCTTTTCTGTTCCACATGGCAGGGATGCTTCTGGCTTCCCTCTCTTCTCTCGAGTGAGCCCAGCACTCGAGAGTGTGGAGCAGCGCCCATTGAGTCTAGGAGAAGGGGGCAGGGCAGGAAGCAGTCTGCGCCTCTGGTAGAGGAGGCCTTCACAGAGTGGGTTGTTCATGTGGTCTGCTCCAGACAACCGCAGATCCTTGAAGGTTGGACCTGGCCCTTTAAACTGTGGGGAGTGAGTCCAGAGGGGCCCTGAGCTCAGGAGTGGTGCACACGTAGCTAGCGATTTGGAGGAGGAGGTCAGCGCGTGGGTGGCTCTCCTTGGTTCTCCTGCTCCCTGCGGTTGGATGCTTTCGCTTTCCTCTGTGGTGCCCTGTCCCTCAGGGACATCATGGTGACAGCTGCCTCTGGTCTGGGAGACCTGGCTGAAGCCCGCCGGCACCCAGTCAGCTGCTGGACGGTGTCTCTTGCTGCACCTCTGCAGCCAGATGGCCTGGGGGGTTCTTGCCAGTGCCACGAATAACATTTTTAATAAGAGAGTTTTTCTTTTTTAGGTTTCAGTCTCTCCCTGAGCTCTCCTTCTTTTCCTCCCTGAAAACAGCCTCCTAGAACAGCTGCTATGTTTGAGTGGCACCCACGTGGCTCTATACATGGGCACGCAGAGCAGGACTTCACTGAATGAAGATAGATCCTGCTCCTTCTTGTTCTTTCCGTCTCTGCAGATTCCTGCCTTTTCTTACGTTTGAAAGAGCAAATGAACAGTTTCTACTTTGTAGAGCATCTTCTTTATCTCGCCCTGTGCCCAGTGAGGGGACCGGGAATGGCTTTGTCCTCTGGGGCTCCCACAGGGGACTGAGGGCCTGTTGTGCTTTGAGGAAGGACTCTGGGGAAGGGGACTTCTCACCTGGGGGTTCAGGGAAACTTGCTGGAAAAGGCCCACCTGGCGAGCATCCTTGAGGTGGGGGCATCTCCAGGGCAGAAAGGAGTTGGATGTGTTGGGCCATGCCTGATCTCGCAGGGGGAAGGCTGGAGTGCACCAGGAGGAGAATTTGAGCCATGACTAAAGCTCCACTAAGTCCTTGAGAGCAAAGGGGGCCTCAGGATAGGCTCTTCCTGCCCCGCTCAAGGTGAGTGGGTGGTAAGGACCTGGGGGGTGGGGTGACAAGGGCAGGGAGGGCACAAGCGATGTCTTTTCCACCAGCCGTGGGTCCGTCTGGGTTTGGGGTGGGGGCAGTGTCCACTGGAGGGCACTGCAGCATCACTGTGTGCCGCCTCTGCGGCCCCCTCACCCGAGGAGTGGAACTCCTCCACTTCTGACCATGTGGTGGCTGTAGAGGGAGACAGAGATCTGCCTGTCCTCAGGGTTGTCACCTGTAGGGCGGAGCATCCAGCAGAGTGCTCCCACTCTCTCTCTCTGTCTCTCTTACACACACATGCACGTATAAGCATACCTCACACCTTCATTCACATGGAATCACAGACCCACGTGGTCACCATCACTCATGCTCATAATGCACAAACTGTACAATTATATACACACGTTCATAACCACACACATGAATACACTCCGAAGTCACATACACTCTCGATCACAGTCATGTGGACTCACACCCATTTCACACACACCCCACTCGATGACTCACATGCACGCACACACATACACACACACACACACACACACACACACACACACACACTCCCCCCAGTTGCCAGTTTCAGCCATGTGCCTCACACATGCAGGCGGCTGGAGCAGCTGTTTGTGTGGTGGGGCTGATGTAATGTCAAGAAATTTCGTGTTATATTTAAAATGACACCTGTAAAAATAATCTTCAATTTGTAATTTAAATACTGTAATACTCAATTACGTGGACTGACAGGAAGTGTCCCAGTGGCTTTGGAGAACAACATTCTCGTGCCTCTCCAGTGCACTGGGGATGAGGCGGGGACGAGGTGGGGATCAGCTCAGGCTTCCTTTGTAAGCGGCCCACCAGGTCACTGAGCCAGGTGCCCAGTGGCTTCCACACCCGCGTGAGTGCCTGTTGCTGCCTGTGCCCATGGTGCACATGTCCATCTGTTCCCCTGCCCAGGCTGCTTGCAGCAGGAGTGACTCCTGTGGGTTTACTCAGGTGACCAAAGACAGTTTCCACCCATGAGAAAGAGGGAGGCTCCCCTGATGGCATGTCCGTGTCCTTTGCTCCACTGCCTCAGACCTGAGTGCAGACCTGAGTGGTTTGTCAGCCCACAGGGTGACGCCTGAGCCCCAGGGCCCCTCAGCACCGCCACCTGAAGTCCCCCAGATGCATCGGCCACCCCACTGCCCTGGGCCCCTTGGGCACATGGCACACAGCAGAGCGGTATAGTTTACTAGATGGCACTTTGCCCCCGGCCCCCAGCCCCATAGCTCACAGCTCCCCATGCAGCCCCTTGGCACACAGCCCTGCAGTCTCAAGCCCGGAGCCCCAGCGCCTCAGCCTTTGCCTGCCAGCTAACACACAACTCACAGCCTGGGCTGCTGAGTCGCAGAGCCCAGCGCTTCCGGATGTCCGGCCTTGGCTGCCCTGTAGGCACCTTACACTGAGCGCACCCCAGGCTGGGCACCCTGTGGCTGCCCTGTAGGCACCTTACACTGAGCGCACCCCAGGCTGAGCACCCCGTGGCTGCCCTGCGGGCACCTTACACTGAGCGCACCCCAGGCTGAGCACCCCGTGGCTGCCCTGCAGGCACCTTACACTGAGCGCACCCCAGGCTGAGCACCCCGTGGCTGCCCTGCGGGCACCTTACACTGAGCGCACCCCAGGCTGAGCACCCTGTGGCTGCCCTGCAGGCACCTTACACTGAGCGTACCCCAGGCTGAGCACCCTGTGGCTGCCCTGCAGGCACCTGAGCACACCCCAGACTGAGCACCCTGTGGCAGCCCTGTGCAGGCACCTTATACTGAGTGTGCCCCAGATGGAGAACCCTGTGGCTGCCCCTCAGGCACCTTACACTGAGTGTGCCCCAGACTGAGCACCCCACTGTTCTCTCAGAGCTGCTGCTTCTCCCCTTATCCTTGTGCTTTCCTAGCGACTGCTGCCCCTGACACTCCACCCCCAGATTATCAGACCAGAGAACAGGCCATTGTTCTTGACTTCCCAGTTCCTTCACCTGGCCCTACCCTGGGGTCCATTGGTTACCAAGCCTTGTCCCTTCTCACCTTATGTAACTCTCCAGTCGGATTTGATCCGATTTTCTACTTTAGTCTCAGGCTGGTATAGTTTGCGTCTTTTTGCTGGCCTCCTTAGATCCTCCTTAGATCCAATCCATTTGCATTTTCATGGAAACTGTTCTAGAACAATGTCCAATAGAATGTTCTGCCATGCTAGAAGTGTTCTACATCTGCACTGACCAATGTAGTAGCCACTGGCCACAGGTAGCTTTTGGGTACTTGAAATTTGGCTAGTGCCAACCAAGTCACTACATTTTAAATTTTAGTTAATTTAAAGAGTCTCATGTGACTACTGGCCACCATGTTGGACAGTGCTGCTCTGAGGCCTGAATCTGACCACACCATGCCCCTGCTTCCATACTCTGAGAGGTAAATTTAAATTCCAGAGTACCGCCTCTGTGGCCTTTGCCCTTGTGTTCAGGCTCACATCACACAGCTTATTCTTTGCTGTGTTCTAACCTACTGGATGCTCTGAGGCTTCCTGAACCTGAGTGCTGTGGTTTTTTTTTTTTTTTTGGTGATTTTTAAAAATGTTTGTTTGTTTGTTTATTTATTGAGAAAGAGAGAGCACAAGCAGAGGAGAGAGAAAGAAAGGGAGACACAGAATTTGAAGCAGGCTTGAGGTTCTGAGCTGTCAGCACAGAGCCCAACATGGGACTCAAACCCATGAATGGTGAGATCATGCCCTGAGCCAGAGTCAGACACCCAACCGACTGAGCCTCCCCGGCGCCCCTGAGTGCCGTTCTCTTGCACACTGTTTGGACTCACAGTGTTTGCTCTCCCGTTGGTCCTCAGGACTCAGTATAGCAGGCCTAGCCTGCCTGGGGCACCCATCCCACTCCCCCAGGTTGACCTGGCCCAGCTTTGTGTTCCTGCAGCTCCTGCTGTGGTCTGGAGCACCCTGCAACCTACTCACCTGTGTCCCTAGCACTCTCCTCTTCTCCTGGAAGAGTCCTCAGTGAGTAAGGAGAGCTCCATGATTTCTGCTGACAACTGTGTTCTGCCCCTGACTGTGTCCCGGGCATGTCGGGTATGGAGGTGCTCAGCTAGTGTTGGCTGAATCAGTAAATGGAAAGACTGGCTGCCCAGTCACCAGCTGTGGCTTCCTTAGCAATACATGTCCCGGGAAGCAGTTAAAATGGATGCAAAGTTCAGGCATGTCTGGATTCTTGGGGTTTCCTCTCCTGGTCACCTCACTTTGCCAAGAAAGGGTGGGGTCATGCCATTTGATCGGTAGACCAGTGCTTCCTTTTCTGTTTTTTTCTCCCCTTTCCCACTCACTGTCATGCCCAGGAGACAGAGCTGCACCAGCCTGGGCTCTTGGGTGCTATTCTGGGCTGCAGTTTCAAAGGCCAGCTTCTGGGGCTGCTTGTGTTTCAGTGCACCGCCTTTCCTTCCACCTTCCCTGCACGACCTGCCTTCTCCACCAATGCCACTTCCACAGGCTCACCAAGTAGCCCCAGGGTAAGGGAATATTTGAAGTCTCCTGCTGACCCGCCCAGTAGTATGTGGATGGAGTTCAGCTGTCCTCGGCTGTCTGTGCCCTCACTGACGACATCTGCAGACTAGAAGGTGGAAAAAAAAGATGACGGTGTTCCTGGAAGTTGGTAGAGAATGGAGGGGACATGGGCTGCCAAGCAAGAGTCCCCAGGCTGCAGACCCTGCCCATTATCTGAAACTGCAGGGTCCCTTGTAGTTGGCCAGGGTTTCTAAGGTGATTTTAGGGTTGTGATGTGGTGAGAATACCAGCACACCACAGCCCTGGGGCGTGGGCTTTGGACTCAGACAGTTGTGCACATGTGTGCACTCAGGACAATCTTGCATACACATGCTGCCTCTGCCATCAGACAGTCCAGAGCTGGGAGCGCAGTGCTTGGCTCAGAGGAGGCATGGAGTATACGGCAGCAGCTCTCACTGTTCGCAGGATGCCTGAAGAGCTCTTCCGGAGAATCCAAGCTTATGTGTTAGGTTTTCTATCTGGCCAACCTGAGACCCTGCTACTTAGCTCTTCTATAGACTCGGTGGCGAGAGTGGATGAACCTCCTTCCATTGTAAGAATGATAACAACTCCCAGCCACTGAATGCCCACTCTACCAGGTATTTTTCTAAAGGCCTCACAAATGCCTTCTGCTCTTCTCTGTACACTTTGAGGGAGATATGAACATTCTTGTTCTACAGATGTGGGAGCTAGCTCAGAGAAATAAAGTTACTTTCCTACTCCACACACTTGGCATGTGTTGGAGCCAGAATTGTAACTTGGGATCTTTTTTTTTAAAAAAAATAAAATACAAACACCCAAAGGCTGTGACATGAGGTGCACACTGATCACACTAAGGTGTGTGGCATCTTGGAGCCTACAAAGTACTCTCATATTCTTGTTCACGATGAAGCCTCACATCACCCCTGAGAAGCAGGCAGGGCAAGGATTGTTGCTCCCATTTTATACATGAGGAGTCAAAGCTAGAAGAGGTTCTGTCAGGTAAGATTTAACATTCTGGAAGTAGCAGAGCACCTCCTGGGTCACTGAACATCAGATTCTGTCCCGGAAAATGAGTGGTGGTTGGAGGTCAAACCCCTCGTTGGCTGTGGGTACTCTGGGGCTCCTTCCCATTCACCTCCTTGTCCCCTTTCTTTTCATAGCACACTCAGCGGGAGAAATGTTTTTTGGACCTTGTCTTTTGGAATTCTGCATTTTTTCCTTATTCACACCAGACCCGGCATCTCTAGAACTTGGTTTTTCTTGGAAGGGCTGCCTGTGAGAATGGCCTTTTGTTTGCATTTCCTCTCTCTGGAGGGGTAGGTGGGGGTGGGGGTGGGAGCCAGCAGGTCAGTGACTCCCCTCCTCTCCTCCTGTGGCCTCTGTGACTCTGAGACAAGGCCCAGGGAGAAGGGCTAGTGCCTTCCCTGGGAGGGGAGGCAGGAATATGAGGGCTGCTTGCTTCGTTCCTTTTGGCCTGGAAGATTGATTCTGGAAGCTTCTTGTCCAGGCTAGTTGGGGCAGGTCATACAGTTCCGGTGGGATCTTTGAGACCCAAATGTTTATGTACTGTTGCACATCAGAGACCCAGGGCAGGGGAGAGTCCTGCTTCTGGTGTGTGTGTGTGTGTGTGTGTGTGTTTGTGTGTGTAAAGTGTGATTGACAAGGTTTAGAAGCAGCTTTAATCACTAGGAAGCTAGGCATGTGGGAAATATCAAAGGGGTCCTTTTTTCATTTATTCTTTCTTGAGGGAGGGGTACATCCTATTTATGGCCACATCCCTAGTCCCTAGCCCAAGGTCTGGTACATAGAAGATATTTTCTAAGTAATTATTAAGTGAATGAATTCCTTTTTTTTTTTTTAAATCGAGGCATGATTATGTACTATAAAATATCCAGAACTGAAGTGTATAGTTCAGTGAGTTTTAACAAACCTCTGTGCCCATATAGCCAATGCCCCCATCAAGATACAAGCATTTTCATCATCTGAGAAAGTTCCCTAAGTCCCTTTCCTTTACGTGCTCCTCCCCCATGGAAAAAAAACCATGATTCTGAGTACTATCCTCATAGGTCAATTTTGCGTGGTTTTGGCATCCACAGAAAAATTGGATCAAATAATACAAACTCTTTTTTTCCTGGCTCCTTTAGCTAGCATAATGTTTTCGAGGTTTATTCATGTTGTGTGTGTATCAACAGTTCATTCCTTTTTATTGTTGTGTATTATTCCATCACGTGAGCCTACATGAATTTGTTTATCCATTTTCCTTTTGATGGGCCTTTGGGTTGTTTCCAGTTCAGAGCTTTTTAAAATAGTGCTGTTGGGAGTATTTACATCTAAGTCTTTTTTGTGGGCAGATGTTTTCATTTCTTTTAAGTAATTACATAGGAGTGAAATTGCTGAATCATGAGGAAGGTGTATATTTAACTTTATATGAAATTACCAGTTTTCGAAAGTAGTTGTACCATTTTTCACCTCCACCAGCAAAGTATGAGAGGCTCAGTGGTTCCACATCCTTTCCACCATTTTGTTTGAGAGTCTTGTTAATTTTGACCATTCTGGTGGTGTGTGGTTGTAACTCATTGTAATTTTAATTCAGATTTCCTTGATCATTAATGATGCTGAACATCTTTTTTATGTTCAGTAAAGCATCCAGCAAAGTGTTTTTTTTCGTGTTTTGAGCTTTTAAAAATTGATTTGAGGAAATTGTAAACTACAGTCTTGGTTCTAGTTGTTAGATATACATAGTGTGAATATGTTCTCGTGGCTCATCTTTTCATTTTTTAATGTGTCTTTTAATGAACACAGGTCTAATTTGTCAATTTTTTCGATGGTTAATACTTTTTTATTTATTTATAAATTTATTTTTATTTTATTTTATTTTTTTACAAATAGTTTACTGTCAAATTAGTTTCCACATAACACTCAGTGCTCATCCCCACAAGTGCCCTCCTCCATGCCCATCCCTCCTCCCCCCCACACCCATCAGTCCTCAGTTTTTGTCAGCATTCAGGAGTCTCTCATGGTTTGCCATGAGAGGCAAACCTCTCTCCCTTTCCCCCACCATTTGCCCCCTTCTTCTCCCCCTTGTTCCTCCGTCAAGTTCCTCCTAATCCTCCTATACATGCAAACATATGATATTTGTCCTTCTCTGCCTGACTTATTTCGCTCAGCATAACACCCTCAAGGTCCATCCATGTTGCTACACATGGCCAGATTTCATTGTTTCTCATTGCCATGTAGTATTCCATGGTATAGATAAACCACATCTTCTTGATCCATTCATCTGTTGATGGAACAGTAAAGAAGAATTTGAGAGCTCAGCGATACGGTCAAACGCAACAATATCCGTATCATAGGAATCCCAGAAGAGGAAGAGAGAGGGAAAGTGCTGAAGGAGTCCTGGAACAAATTATAGCAGAGAACTTCCCTGACCTGGGGAAGGAAGTAAATGTGGAAATACAAGAGGCTCAGAGGACTCCCCTCAGAAATACTTTTTATAATCTGTCTAGGAAACATTTGCCTACCCATCCCCTCTGGTTTTATATTCTCCTGGGTTTCCTTCTTTCTTCTTTTTCTTTATGGTTTTAGGCTTTATATTTAAGTTTGTAAAAAATTTTGAA